TCGATTCTCGCCTTCCCCCTCCTTCTGATCATGATCAAAGAAGCTACGCCCGATAGATCGCATCTTGGGAGAATCAACGGGTTGGCTGCATCTACCGGCGCTGCCTGCCGTACAGTAGCAAGTCCTATCGCCGGTTTGCTGTACGGCCTCTCTCTCGAGCTTCACTTCACGCCTTTAGCTTGGTGGGGTTCCGCTCTGGTCGCAATTTGCGGAGCTCTTCAGGTGCCCTTTCTCAATCGCGCAGCGCACGAGTGTCACGCTCGAGTGCGTAACGTGGCTAGCGACTATCTGACCAAGGAGCGTCGTCGGAGCGAAGTGGTTCGCATTGTAGTAGAAGATCAAGAGTAATCGGTGCAGCAGGTCTCGCACACGATAAGCATCAGTTTGATTATAGACGAGAAGTTGGCATGGTATTTTGGTTTGTTCGTTTTTCCATATCGACTCGCTTGTAAAAAGCGAGCTTGCTCCTCGGCGTCTTGGGTACAACGGCAACGATACCAGAACACAAGGCATTGGCGTTTAGCATAGGTCTCTTGGCGTTTACTGTATTTGTATTGGCATAGATCACTGTTACCATTTGCATGTTTGGCAACAAGAACAATACGACACATTTTCCACAGGCACAAGTCACAGTAACTGCCGTTGTCGAGTGTGCAGCTGAGAGCACTGGGGTAGAACATAGCATAAAGTCAGTCGTTCATGCGAGGTCCTCCATCACGGATGAATTCTTGAAACGGCTGGGATGCCATGGACACGGGGAATACGAGAATAGCAACGTGTCAGGGCTCTCCGAAAGGGCAACCCGACAATACCCCGAGTTAGTGAGATGTAATCGAAACAGCTCTTCAGCTGAAGGATGGAGGCTTGTTGCCATCTGCTATGTTACTTCATAATACTCTGAAAGCCTTCGATAAACCCAAGTTCATCACATAGCCGAGTTCGCTTGCGTACTCGTGTCGTGACAGCTCGTAGCACGGTCCATCGCGAGTCGCGAACACCACAAGGTGCCGTCATTCCCGCGCTCACGAAGCAATCGTCTGCGCCTGTGTTCCGAGCTGACACCGCCACTCCCGGCCGTTCACGACATCTTTTTGCCCTGTTCCACACGCTGCAAGGTACCCGTGCGCCATGTCTCTAAAGCTTGTTGTCTTATCCTTGCATGATGCGCAATGTCTGAGAGGCAGGCAACCGCAACCTCCATTTAGAAGTCAGATCAGCTTTTCGATAGTGCACAGTATTGATTTGCAGAGGGATGTTGAGTTGTTTGCGGCCGATGAATCGCGCATTTCCATCCATGGGCTCGCTTGCCCGCCCAACTCGACCAGAAGTACCTGAGGTGTTAACACGACGAGCCGATGGCTTTCCCACGACACTCCAAAGCTCTCGTTCATGCCGCGCTCCTTCCAATAAAGCAACCAAGCCTTTGAGACACGACCTTCCGATGGGCCTAGGATGTATGTCACTCGAAGCTTGTTGTTCCTGACGCTCGTTGGCCGCAGCGATGGCGGAACACCCATGAAACACGCTCGTGCATATTCTTCAGAACGACAGCGTCATGGCTATAGTTGGTCGGCGGCTCCGCCCAAAAAGGAAATACAGGCAACGGAGATCGACTTGGCTAGGCGATACGGCTCTGGACGGATGCAGGAGAATGAACGGAGTGGAGAAGATGCAGGAGGTGGGCAAGAATGGAACCCTCCAGACGCCCATATGTGGCGCATTAGTGAACTCGAAGTATCCCTACTGAAGATGAACAGAAAAGCAACAGAGCTGAGTTGCGATGACCTGTCGACAGCCTGCGGCTCTGCGTTTCTATCCGTAAGACTGACACTGGGCCCCGACCAGTCGTTGGCCTGTCGCACAATATACTTGACGCTCTTGGCTTGCCAAAATACACACAGTCGACGCCATTGGCTCGTACCTGCATGATAGTCTACTCCGGTGGGCTATTTAGGGCGTTTCGGAAAGCGCCCCTGTTCGCTTACGATGTGCTCACGCCAAAGCCATCTGACTGGGATCCACCATCTTTAGCCAGGTCATCTTGTAACCGACGACCCTACTGCCGAGTGGGCCTGCAGAGCGCGCGACAACGACCGACATGGAACCTCCTTGGGCGACTCGTTCTGATCGTGGCTGAGCATGCGAGTCGGAGGCCCTCGGCGGACCAATCCTTTAGAAATGTTTCGAGACGGCTTGTTTCGAACGAGCGCTGGTGGTAGAAGTATATCTTGACCCTTCGTCCTTCCCCTCAGTGCATCTACACACGCTTTGTTTTCTAATCTCAGCATTGCATTTGCTGCTACTTTCGCTTCCCAAGACGAACATAGTCGCACTCTTTTTGACTTTGTTCTCTTGTTAGACCGTCATTCGTTAAGGTCCAACTACAACATACATTGATATTCGCTTTACTACCTAAATTCGATTCCGACGTTCATATATCACCATGAAGTCTACCTACGCTCTCTTGGTCACTGGCCTCGCCGCTCAACAAGCCGCGGCCACCTGGAATTTCTTCGACAACTTCGGCACTCCCGACTACAGTAACAACGTCTGCGACGATAAGCAGAAGGGCGGCTTCAACTGGGCCGATCTTATCGATGGCCAGGATGTCGGTAACTATGGAGACTTCGACTTCTCTGGGGGCTGGAAATGCTCAAACTCCTTCGGCAAGCGGGACTCTCTGAGCAAGCGAACCTTTGGAAACAAGTGCATCAAGAACACCATCCAGAAGAACAAGCCCGCTGCATTTGGCTGTGCCCAGCGCGGTTTCTCCATTACTCACATGGACGTCTCGGCTGAGTTCGACGCTGAGCTCGAGCTCCACTACAAGATGGGAGACGGATCCATCTGCAAGCAACACAGCAGCTGCTCGGCTGGTGGATCAACACTGCAGAACACCCAGTGTGGTGGCGCAAAGTCCGTCGAGGTCTACCTTGGATCTCACTACAAGGGTGACAAGGAGTCTTGCGAGATCGGTTTCCACAACATCGGCTTCGACTGTGACGCTGAGAAACCATACACTCCTCCTTCGCCTCCTTCGCCTCCCCCTCCACCTGAGGTCCCCGCCTCAAGCGAGGTTCAGTCTTCCACCATCGCCATTGAGTCGTCGACTGCCCCAGCCTCCAGCGCTGTTTCTTCCGCTGTTGAGACTACGGCTTACTCTGCCATCGAGACTACCGTCGTCTCATCTGCTGTGGAGACACCTGCTTCTTCATCCGCTGTCGAGACTCCCGCCACTTCTGCCAACGAGTGTGGACAGTACGGTGGAGAGGGATGCCCACCCGCCGAGACTCCTGCCTCTTCAGCTGCTCCCTACACCAACAGCTCCATGCCCGCCTACACTCCTCCAGCTTCCTCCGCCGTGGAGATCACCAGCTACCCTGCGTCGGTTCCTTCCATCAGCACCGCTACCCCCCAACCGGAGTCTTCCACTGTTGTTGTGCCACCCACATCTGAGAGCTCTGCTGCTGCTGGCTGCGGATACGGAGAGTCTTGCGAGCAGTCATCCACTGTTGTAGCCTCTTCCGCTATTGTCTCCTCCGCCGTTGTCTCATCCGCCGTTGTCTCCTCCGCCGTCGTTTCGTCTGCCGTTGTCACATCTGCTGTCCCTGCTACCAGCTCAGCCGCTCCTCAGCCTTCCAGCCCCAGCTACCCTCCCGTCGACATCACCGACTCGGTTCCCAAGTGCATGAACTCGTGGCTCCAGATCTCGGCCCCAGACTGCAAGGACAACACCGACTCCAGCTGCTACTGCCTCAAGCCTGAGTTCACCAAGAACGTCATTGACTGCATCTCTGCCCGCTGCGGTAGCGATGACGAGATCAGCAAGGGTCTGCAATACTTCATCGGTATCTGTGCCCAGCATGTCCCCGAGAACCCTTCCATTGTTGGAGACTGCCCTTCATACATTCCTTTGAACCCTACCCCTGCTGCTCCTTCTGCTCCTGCCGCTCCCCCTGCTGGTGGTGAGAGCTCCGCCGCTCCCTCTGCCCCTGCTTCCAGCGCCTACGGCCCCGGTTACCCTGATGAGACTCCCGCTGCTAGCACCACCACTGCTGCCGGCGAGACTCCTGCTATCACCACCGCTGTCTCTTCTGCAACCATGACTGAGGTTGTTGGCACCACCACTGCTGCTGGAGAGACCCCTGCTGAGGAGACACCTTGCACCACTATCACATTCGGCACGACTACTCTTACCGTCCCTCAAGTTCACTTCACCACTCAGCCCGCCTCTGCTGGCGCCAACCCAACTGAGCCCGTTGCTCTTGTTCCCGGCACTGCTGAGCCTCCTCAAACCCCAGCTGCCACCACACCTGCCGGTGGTGCGCCTTACCCCATCCCCTCTACCATGGGAACCGCCACTGTCCCAATGGGCACTGCCACAGGTACTGGTGCCGTCCGTCCCTCGTCGCCAGCTGAGTTCACTGGCGCTGCCTCGCCATTCAACGTTGTGCCCAAGGGTGCTCTGTTCGGTGCGGCTCTTGCCTTGTTTGCATTGTAGACGCTATACATTTTAATGTAGTGCAGCTTTCCTTTTCTATGTCTTCACTGTTTGTATTTAGCGGTTGGTGCGAAACATGATACACAGCCCGCATCTGAAGAAGCGATGGTGTAATACATGGGTTTTCCTTGGATCCATAGAGTATATAGACAAGTATACATATGTGATTTACAACTCATAGCCATTATCTCGTGATGATATCTGTTTGCGCAACGTGTGGTGAGAGATGCGCGTACAAACCAAGTTTTAGTAGACACCAATATGTAGACCATGGGACAGCTCTCTGGGCCAGGGTAGCCCCAGACTAAGGAATGTCGTTCGCATGTGAGAAGATTGGGGTACATGGCCAAACTGCCGAGGTCCGTCAAGAGCGGCTCCTGTGCGCAACCTCCAGGGATCGTCATCAATGCTAGCTTCCCCAGACTCCGCGTGTGCCGTCTAATGACAATAACAACAGCCCCTCAAACTATGAGCCCGAACACATTCGAAGACGCCCACCATGTCGTCTGGCGCATCGCAGCCCACGCCGGGCCCCGCTAAATTGCAACCAATCGACCCGATTCTGCGCAATGCGCTCCGCTACACCATCTCGGCAAAGGAGTACCAGCTGCTGCACCAATACCTCCTTTCGCGCGCCCCAGTCGTCAAGAAGCGCACAATAACCCCAAAGCGATACGATGCCATTGTCAAAGGCCCGGATGACTACAATGTAGCCGCCTTCCGCGCGGCACTGCGATTAGGCATCGTGACCTTCTCGGGGCTGAAGGCATGGGAAGTCGTTAAGACCAGGCTTCTGTCGCGGGGGACAGCGAATAGGTGGGCATACGTCTGGTCGCGTTTAATCGATGCACATTAACAATCCCCTAGGAACCAGCCCAGAACCTCCGTTTTCAAGTCACCCAACGTCCGCCTCAGCAGCTCCCTCGCCCTCATACTCCTTTTCCACCGCCTCCTTCGGCGCATCTTCGTGCGCATCCGCGAGAGCCTACTCAGCCATGAAGGCAAGTCGTTCCGGCGGCGGAACCCACGCGTATCACGTTCCTTGACATCCAAGTTGGCACCGGCCATTGGATCCAGCTTAGCAGGCTTCTTCCTCGCCATGTACCCAGGAGATCAGCTGCGCGTCACAATCGCCATCTACATCATGACAAGGGCTCTGGAATTTGGCTACAACTACCTGGAGGAGCTGGGGTACATGAAGAACAGGCCCAGTTGGTTCGGTTCCTGGATGATCATGCCAGTCGCTTGCGGACAGCTACTGCACGCTTTTGTCTTCGACCGCGACTGCTTCCCCTCTGGATTCGGAGACCATATCTTGAAGAACTCGCCAGAGTATATACAGAAGCGCCCTGAAGACTATCCCAGTACAGCGCCCTGGCCAGGCACATTTGACATAGTGAACAACCTAGCAGAGATCTCGCGACAGCGCTGGCCACCCTTCGTATCGCCCATCCTCTTCCCCAACGCTGAAACGCTGCCAAAGCGACTGACGTCCATCTCTCCGATAACGTCTCCCGCGCATCCAGCCATCAAGTCCTTGTCATGCGCCTTACTCCACCCGCAAGACCCGTCCTGTCTACGCACCTACGTCCAATACTGGATCCAAGCCTTCCCCAAAATCGCCCGCTTCTTCACGCTCTTCTTCACGGCCATGAGCATCACGAAATACAAAGCCTTCCTCTCCGCTCCCATTGCCTCATTGAACAGTCTAGCCAAGCGCATACTGCGCATGTCGCTCTTCCTCTCTGGTGCCATAGGAACGAGCTGGGGATCCATCTGTCTCTTCCAGAACATACTTCCTCGAGCCTTCTTGTCAACACAACGCTGGTTCCTGGGTGGTTTCATAGGCGGACTCTGGGCCTTCTTGGAGAGGAAAGGTGGAAGAAGTAACTTCCTTTATACAGCGAGGATGTCGATTGATTCCATGTGGAAGGTGGGTGTTAAGAGGGGGTGGTGGAAGGGTTTCAAGAATGGGGATGTGCTGCTCTTTGTTGTTAGTTTGGCGACGGTTAATGCTCTGTACGAGGTCTCGCCCAGGTCGGTCAATAGTGGCGTTGCGAGGAAGGGCTTGGGTGTGCTGAGGGGCGAGGGCTGGGTTGACAGAGCGGTGGTGCCGAGAGAAGATGAAGGCAAAGAAGAGTAATGATATCCAGCTGTTTACGCATGCAGCTTTTGCTCACTGAGCATGATGACAATGCGTTTTGAATTTACTAGTACATTTGCAGTATTTCAGTTTAGTATGAAAATATTTATTCTTGACTACATTGCTCTCGAAAGGATTGAACAGTTTTGAGGGGGTATAACAAGGCTTAAGTCAAACAAGCACGCTCAGTCTCCTACCATTACCATCTTCCCCTCTCCATAGCACCAGTGTATGCGACTCGTGTGATCACTCCATCTTCATACCCTCAGCGCACTCAGCCAACTCTCCCCTCTCACCACCATAGCTCTTTGGTACACCCTTTCCAAGCTCAGCCGCAAGCTGATTACCGTAGCTCAGAACAACAAACTTCTTGCTCGTCTCCTTGGCCACAACCAACTTCATCGCATTGAACAGCCAGCCCATGACCACAGGTACATTTACAAAGAACTTCCTGCTCAGCGTCTCAGGGTAGTGGCGTCCTAGTATCTCGATAGTCTTGTTGGTCGCGGTCTTGACGAGGGGGTCGCGGCGGAGGAAGGAGACTTGGAGGTAGTCGTGGATTTGGAACCCTTGGTATGGATCGGGGCCTTCGCCGAAGTTGGGGATGGGCGTTGTGGCGGCGGGCAGGTTGAGCGCTTGGACGGACTTCTCCATGAGGCCTACGCGCCAGCGGAGGAAGCTGTGGGGTTCTGTTAGCATGGTCTTGTTTATTGTATGAGGCTGGGAATGGGGGAAGCATACCCATCCAGATCGCCAAAGGTAGCCTTGTTGTCCTTGACAGCTCCGTAGATGTTGAAGGTAACGATATCCTTCTTGTTGGGGCTCTCGGGTACACCCTCAACCTCGAGCACGTAGCCTAATCCATCGAACTTGTTCTTCGCGAATGTCTCTCCTGCTGCCTTGATTGGATCAAACTCCTTCCTCCACTTCAGCGTGTCAAGCAGCTGTGACTTGGCTTTGTCCAAATCATTCTGGTTGGCCCGGAGGAACTTTTGTAGGATGAGCTTGGTATGGAAAGGCTTCGACTTGCTCAGCTCGATGCCGTAGACTTCGTTATGTTGGGCCTCAGCGGTGAGAGCCTCGAAAGCGTCGTAGAACTTCGTGAGCGGGTGGTCGGGTGCGGTCTCGGGCCAGATGGGGCCCTGGGTGGGTGTTACGGTACTGGGCTCGGGTTTGGCGGAGCTGGATGCGGGTTCGGGAACGGCTGCAGGAGCTGGGGCAGTAGCTTCAGGTGTGACTTCTGTCGGCTTTGCTTCCTCTTTCTTCTCGTCGACCGAAAGATCTGCTACTGCTGCGGCTGCGCTGTCGACGGCATCTCCATCGTCCTTCTTGTCGGCAGAGTCGGCTACAGGATTAGGCTCGGGCTGCTTCTCCGGGCCTGCTCCACTGAAGAGACCGGCGCCTTCCGTGGGTGCTGTGCTTACGTCTTCGGGCTTCGCTGCCATCTTGATGTGCGTTACGAGTGCGTGTTAGCTGAGCTGTCAACGTTGGGTTGGGGAATTGTTTCAAGTGTCCGGAGATCATTCGAGATCGTTCCCCAAACTCCGGATCCGCTGCGCGTCCCCAGTCCTGGTATCAGCTTGGACAAGGAAGAGACCTCTGCATTCCTTTTGCACTCTACATGAGGATACAGTAACCAGATGAATTTATGCAGCATTGCCGCAGGTGTCCACGTTGTCTGCTATCATGTCTCATTCTACAATCTCAGTGCATGTATGGCATACGGAAGTCTCACGTCTTTAGTGTAGCATGTGCATGCGCAGATACAAGGTTCGCAGTGGTGAAGCAGTCATATTTAACAAGAATGAATGAATATATATAGCCATCTACGTGTCGACGAACGTCTATCGACCAACAAGCTGGTTTCCAGTCATGTCAAGATGCCTCGACTTCATCCATCGTGCGTTGACGCCACTTGTTCGGTCGAAAGAGGAGTGCAGTTGCCAGAGATGGTGTCGACATTGAGTAATCTGCGATTGACAGTTAGCATAGAACGAAGACTATGGTTCTGAACAAAGATGCAGGTGAGAGAGCAATCAGCCGAAAGATGAAAAGTCTCGAATGTTTTTTCAATCAGTGAGGCGAACCCCGTCTGAGTTAGCATGAATTGGTGTTCATCATTGCAAAGGGAGAGAAGAGAGGGTGGGTTATGTACCTTTTCAATGAAAGCTGGTAGCTGTATCAAGTAGACTTTCTATTTAGTGCATACCTAGAGCTATGTCAGTAACGATTCCAGAAGAAGACGTTTTGACGAAGGCTCGAGGGTGGAAAGATATTCAGGTAATCGAACTAGTTTATTCCCCACGAAGTGGTCGGTATTTGATAATACATTTGTTGCTCATCATCTAAGGATGGGTGCTTGGGGTACGGGGGTGTGGTCTAACCTTTCAAACGCTATCGCAGCCCACGAAGCCTTGCCGTCTCGACCACATCATATCGAGGTCTGCTATTGCTTGTAACCAACGGACGGAGAGGCTATGCGATGGACGGAAGGCTTCGTGGAGCTGCGGGCCGCACGTCGGCGGCAGCGCATCTAATGGCGCATCATGATCGCGAAGTCATACTGTGACTGAGAACAATGGGACCTTTATAATTTGTTAGCTGATGTCCTGAAAAAACTTCTAGTAACAGATTGGTAGATGTTGCGAAAGATCAGTATTCTCGTTTGGCTTGAGTGGTCGGATCACCATAGAATGTATGATAGGGGCGACACAAGTGTTCATCATGATAGCAACAGGAAACAAAGAAAGAGCGGGTGTGTTGACTTACCAAAAGTTGGGCGCGTTGTTGGAGTGAGAGAGAGAAGCTGCAGGCTCAAGTTTTGTACGGGAACTTTTCGCGGCGGTGTTTCGTTTCGCCGGGCGGGTCGTGGCCCGAGCTTTGATCCAAGCGGGTCAAGGTTCTCGTAGACGCGCTCGCTGGTTGTCCTTAGGCCGACACTTACGCGCTTCCACTCGATACCAGACCACCACCACTACTCTCCATTTCCACCGTCGCTCAACATGGTCGCCTCAACCACCGCATCTTTCGAGAGTTTCGTTAAGCAGACCCGCGAGAAGAAGAAGAACGAAGCCCTCGCGCAACAGTTCCTCGGAGCTGGCAGCCGAGGCCGGAAAGCGAATGCACCAGGCGCCGGCGGCCGCGCGCGAGTTGAATCTGAAAAGCCATCGCTGCTCAGTCGGATAAACGGTGGTGCTGGCGTCCAGAAGCGATCAGCGAGCGCGAAGCCAGCCGGCAACGTCGACGGGAAATGGCAACACGATCTGCACAAGCTGAACAACCCCCGCGGTGCCGCCAACAGCAGGAACAACCTCGCTCGGACGGCGTCAGCATCCCAGGTCGAGCGCAACAGCAAAGCGTACACCAAATTTGCTCCCGTCCTTGGTCGCGCTGCGGCTACACGCAGCAATGACGCTGCACCGGGCATCAGCATTCGAGGTGCCGCGACGGGCGGTCCGTGTACGGTCATTGCTAGCAACTTTGCACCTGGAACAACGGCCGCTGATATCGAGGCCGTCATGACCCCGATTGGAGGAGAGACGCTGGGCTGCAGGCTCTTATCTTCCAGCCCGACGGTCATGGTCGAGCTGCAGTTTGTGAGCAGGGAGGGCGCCGAGAATGTTATCGCGACGTTCAACAACCAGAAGGTCAGTGTTCCGGCGAGCTTCTTCCTCGCTGGACTAAAACTAACTCCATCAACAGGCTGATGGCAGACTCCTCTACGTCTACATGAAGGATGTCCCCGCGAGTACCCACGTCGCACGAGCACCGCCTGCACGCCTTACGCAGTCCATGGATGACATGGACATCGACACCGGTGCGGGCGCACGCGCGGGTAGCTTCCAAGATGGACGATACGGCTTCAACGACGCTAGTCGCAGAGAACCACCACGTGGACCCCGCCGACGATACTAGAGCTCAACGGCCGGCACACATCTTCTTCAATTTCCCCTGTACGATATACCCTTTTACAGACGATAGCAACGAGCAGACTGCATGCAGCCGGGTTTCAAGACTTACAACACTCGGAGCAGCCATGCAGTTTCCATATCCGATGGCATAAGCGGGGAGTTGGGTTATACACACAACATGCACCAACGATCTCCTCGGCAAGTGTCTTGTGGCCAGAATAAATTTCTAATTAATGATGGATATCATCCCCTTCATCGTCGTGTCCTTGACTACTACCACTTGTGATATTTACTTGCTAGCCCATCCTTCAATGGCGGCATCGACCTCCTTCCTGTACCTCTGCTGGCCCTCACACTGCTCCAAGAACACCTTGTATTTGGCGTCCAATAGCTTCTTGACCGTCTTATCAGCCAGTGGCTTCACGGTCTTACCGGGCTTGCTCAGTCTGTCCATGATATCCCAGAGCGGCTCGCTGTTTCCGTCCTTGTCGGTACTGGCCGCCTTTGCACCCAACATAGCCGCGCCGTGCACTACAGCTGCGTGTACGTATCGTGGAATCAGGACCGGCATGTCGCACGCAGTGGCCATGAGCTGCATCAGCAAACTGTTCTGGCACTGTGAACCGGACATGAAGATGGAAGAGATGACGTGGCCGGAGGCGTTCATCGCAGAAACAATCTGGTGTGTCTGAAGGGCAATGAACTCCATGGTCGCGTAGTAGTATAGTGCCAGGCCGTCGAGGCTCTTGTCGGAGCTCAGACCGATGACAGATCCCTTCATGTTGGGGTCGGCGATAGGGGAGCGGTTGCCGAAGAGGTCACCATAGAAGAAGAAGTGACGTCCAAGCCAGGCAATGTGTGGGGCTTTCTCCGCGTCTGCCATCTCGCGGAGATGTTCGTTGAGGTAGTCGTAGATGTTGGTGTTGTACGTTTCAGCGACGGACACGGCTTCGTTGAAGGCTGGGTGTGTCTCAATAACATGCTTGAGTAGTTCACCTGTCGCACTTTGTCCTCCTTCTGCCATCCAGTAGTCTGGTAAAAGGACGTCTCGGTATGGACCCCAGACACCGTCGACGAAGACGGGCTCGCGTGACATGGCAAGGTGGCAGGTCGATGTTCCAGCTACGGCTGCGAGACGCGTGAAGGCTTGCGAAACATCGTTCTTGGGCTGGTCCATGTCAAGAGTATCCCCATCGAGCTTGACTTTGGCGCCAACGGTACCGATCCAGCCAGCGTAGGCGTCGATGACTCCACTTCCGACTGCAATACCGGGTTGCAGACCCATCTCCTGTGCCGCCTTCTCGCTGAGTGTGCCGACGAGCTCGCCCGCAGTGAGGTAGCGTCCGTTCTGTGTGCTTGTTAGCCGGGACCGTCGAGAATAGTAGCGAAGGACAAACCACATTGTCAACGCCTCCCATGCGCTTGAAGTTGTCTTCGCATAGATCTTCGAGGCCGATCTCCTTGAGGAAGTCTTCCTGCCAGCCTTTGACACTACCATCGACTCCAACAGGTACAAATCCCTGCTTGCAGACCACACTGCAGTAGCTTCTGCTCTCACTGCCGGTAGCCAGATGTGTGAGAGCATCGGTCAGATCGTAGAACTTGCAACGATCGAATAGCTCCTTCGGCATGTTGTTCTTCAGCCACAATACCTTGGGGATCTCCATCTCGATGGACATCTTGCCTCCGACGTAGCGAAGCAGGTTGTGCTTGGTGGCGTTGATCTTGTTTGTTTCCTCAACAGGTCGGTGGTCGAGCCACAGAATGACGTTGCGGTCGTTGCCGTCCTTGTTGTCAAAGTTTGGTCCAGTGACGGCGACAGGCTCATCTGTGTCGTCTCTGAATACTGCAAGCGAGCAGGTCGCATCGAAACCGATACCACGGATAGTGCTTGAGTCGATGTTGTGCTGATCCATGGCTCGGCGGACTGAGGAGCAGATGCATCGCCAGATGTCTGTTGTGGATTGTTCCTAGGTTCGCTTTAGCTTTGGCTCTCGCAATGTACCTGTTGCGGGTCAAGTACATAGTAGCCAGTCTGTGGTTGCCATAGGCCAATGTTCTCTGAGGCCAGTCCAACAATGTCTCCCTGATCGTTCATGATACAGGCTCTAGCACTACCGGTACCAACATCGATACCGATGTAGTGGTCGACTTGAGGGTGGAGCTCATTGCGGGGATCTGTTGACAGTTGACGCGACTGCTTGCGCTGGGTCTGGCGGAAAGGAATCGACATTGCTGCGTATGAGTATGGGAAGGTGAGAGAAGTGTGGTATTTTGAATTGAAGAAAAGCTAATTGAAAGCCCGAGGACGCGAGAAATAATGTTGAGTTACAATACAGCTGTCAATGCGGGATGAGCTCATAAGAGCTCTGGGGAGCTCTAGTATGGTGGGGGTGGGGCAGCAACCCCAGCCTTTGTGCAATCGGGCTACCAGTCGTCAGGGTCGTCTCGAGCCTGAGCGTCGATCTGCTCACAGATCAGACTGAGAATTGTGGGCATCGTGAGCGCCGGATCCACCTTTTCAGGCATACCGAATGCTGTTGGGCCAGTGTTGGATGGTCAGAACGCCACGCAAAGCAAGTTGAGGTCTTGGATCACGGCTGATCATGGCTATCGGTGCGATTTCGGATCAAGCGGAGTTGCAGGATTATTTTACCGTATGTAAGTCTCAGGAGATATGGTTTGAGAATGAGGGGTTGTGGAAGCACGGCTCGCTTGAGTGAATGTCCATCGGTGATACAATTCGCCGTTGCTCTCGGGTGGCTAGCCCCAGCTCCCGTTACCAACACCATTGCATTGGTACAGATAGCAACGGACCGTACCATCGCGCCAAGATGCTACTGTCAAGACTTCTACTGCTGCCATTTGCGGTCGCATCGTCGGTCACGCTTTACGTCTCCTCCGTTCCAGCCTCAGGGGACAGCGCCGTCATCCCCTCGCCGATTCCGCTTGCGCAGATCGAATACGACGCAGACCAACCCGTTGGCACTTTAGCCTCCTTCACACCACCCACAGGCTCCTACGCCTCTGATCACCTTCTTCGCGTTGGCCTCACCGACCCTAAATCTGGCTCATGGCGAGGCATTGTCACGTCAGCGGCCAGTTTCTCCGACCAATACCACAAGAAGTTCATCATTCACGTTGATGAGAAGGGGGAGCCTTTCCATATTGGATTCGGAACAAGCGCAAAAGGCAGCGAAGATGAAGTGGAGGTGGAGATAAGGAAGAGGAATGTTGGGCCAAAGCCGGTCTTGAACAAGCCCATCGTGCTCAATGCGGAGGGGAAACTCGACGGAAAAGAGCCGGAGAAGACCTTCTTGCAAAAGTACGTAGGGGGACAAGGTTCATTATTAGAGGTTTTGCTGATTATTATACAGATACTGGTGGGCCATTGCTCTCTTCATGGTAGTGCAGTTGGTTGCAGGTGGTGGAGGAGAGAAATAAGATACAGGTGGATAAAAGCCTCCCCGATCCCGTTTCAATACCAAACTCAGTACCGACCATCTATTGCCGTTTCTGCTTCCTTTCGAAATCACGATGCAGGTATTGTACTCTCAGCCATCCCAAATCAGTTACGTGTCTCAGTGAACAACAAGTTTTTATTGAGGTAAAAAGTCATAAGGTATTATACATTCGGTTTCACTCCTTCATCCTAGCGTCTATGGTTGGGTATAAGTATGCATTATCGTAAGTGCTTCAAGCAAGAGCTGTGCTGGCAGAGCTGGGTCGAGCCTGTCCGGGCGTGGGAAACACAGTCTTGGGGACCGCGACAGCTGCAGCGGCGGCGGATGCGCTCAAAGAAGACAGTGTCGGGATGGATCCGGTCGAGGTCGCATTAGCCGGAGCACGAATAGCAGGTGATGGGGTCGACTTGGGCTGATGAACGTCCATGGGCAGGATCTCTGTCTTCAGCTCCCTCGTCTTCTTCTGTTTGGGCTCGGGGGCCTTTTCGTTCTCTTGGACGTAGAATTTCCGGAGCAACATGATGGCTTCCTCTCGGAAGATGCCGCCGGTGACTGGATAGGGCTTGTCGACGCTAGCACTGTTGAAGTCAGTACTTGCAATGCATGTATTTGTGAGGAAAGAAGGATACGTACTCAGAGTGAATGTTCAGAACACCTCCGGTGCCACCAAAACGCTCGTTCCAGCATCCGAAGTAGACGGCTCGGATGCCGTACTGGCGCAGCATGGACGCGCACATGACGCATGGCTCAACGGTGACATAGAGGTCTGTCTCGTTGAGGATGCTGATGGGGTGCTTTGACAAGATGCCAGCGATGGCGACGAACTCGGCGTGGCGGGTACCGTTCAGGGTCCGATTTGTCTCGTTCATGCCTCGTCCAATGACCTCGCCGTCCTTGACGAAGACACAGCCGACGGGGGTCTCATCGCTCTTGAGTGCAAGTTCAGCCTGCAGTGATGATGAGTCAGCAGAGGGATCAAACATGGAGTAAACTCAGCAGATAGCTGAATATGTACAAAGCGAAGGACGTGGCTCACCATGGCAATAGCCTCGCGCATGAAGCCTTCATGATACGCTCTCTCCTTCGGATCCATGGCGTCTGGTACGTGAATCGCTTCGTCGTCTTGGCACGGTTCTGTATTCACCTGCGCAGGGTCCGCAGTTGTCAAAGTGGCTGTTTGCTGGGCATGTAGGTAGTAAAGCGCCAGCCCGAGCGCGGCAGACGCAAGCACGAGAGGCGTCCATGATTCCTTCGCTTTCCAAGTTCCAGTCATCCCAAGGTGAGGCAGTCGCGGCCATACACAATGTTCTGAAACTGAAGGTGCAGGTCCGAGTTCTCAGGCGCAGAGTGCCGGCCCAAGACGGTTTCGGCAAGCACTAGCGCGTAGTTTACGTAGACGTGGAAGCCGCGATCCGACCGAGGGCTGAGCTACCAAGAAGCACGCAACGCAGCCATTGCCATCGCAACGCCAGGCACCGACCAACATTCACTCGACCCAATCCGATTCACTGCACAGCCACAATCACATTACGCAGCGCAACGTACACCAACGCGGCGCACGGCATTCCAACAAAGGATATCAAACCTCGCCTGATACTTTGTGCCAGAGCTTCATTCAGCCCGCGCCAGCAACAAAGCTACCGGAACCGCAATCTACACATCGCCAAATCACCACTTTGCGCATCACCTCGAAAAGCTAGAAGCATACCGCAGTCAATCACACCGCGAAAATGACGCTCGCAGAAGAGTTCAAGTCGAGGAATTTCAGTAAGACACCCGCTGCTGGACCTGTAACTTGTTGCTGACATGGCATCTTTGCAGGTATCTACGGACAATGGTCAGTCACGCCAGCTGCTACGCACACGTCCACGGCTTGCAGCATGTCATACTAACTCTTCGGCAGGACCGGAGTACTGTGTATAGTCCTCTGCTTTGCGCTGGGCATCGCCAACATCTTCAACGCCAACTGGGTCATCGCGTTTAGTATCGTGTGCTTGTACGTTCTCCGCGCCCACACCTTCGCTGGGAATACGGCTAATCAGTTCGCAGAGTATGCTCCTTCATCATCATCTTCATCGAAATACCGCTGCTCCTCCGCATCTGCCCGACTTCACCCAAGTTCGACACCTTTATTCGCAAATTCAGCTCCAACTACATGCGCGCGGCCATCTACGCGGCGATGAGCGCCATACAATGGGCTAGCATCGCTGCCCGGGCTACAAGTCTGATCGTCGCGGCCGTCTTCCTTCTGCTCGCAGCCGTCTTCTATGCGCTTGCTGGTTTCAAGGGTCAGCAATTCCAGGGCAGCAAGACGCTTGGTGGACAGGGAGTTGCCCAGATGATTATATAGGGCGGAAGTAGAACTAGGCAGCAAGCAACAGCCATGTGCGACGATTCCGAACGAACGACACGCGTATAGAAAGAAGGGCCGACGGACGAGCCGATTGATATCACAAGGACGGAGATGATGAGCTTAGCCGATTGGAAAGCGATTACAGGAGATGATTTGACTTCTTTGTAGCATTATTCTGCAGCTGGGCGTTCTGGGGCCATGTTTTGTACGAGAGCCTCTTGGATATGGAAGTGCTCGGCCAAACTGCTAGGCGGTTAAATGCGACATGCTTTCTCCGTACTCATCGCGTTCCCGTGACAATTGTGCATTTGTCGTGTACGATGTCATGTTGCTGTGTGGGGGCACCTACGTAATTATACACAGATATTGATCGATGGAGACGAGCGCAGGGCCCACATGAGTCCCTATGACGATGTTCTAGAAGCTTTGGGTGTCATTTTCTTAAGCGTACATTTCAGAGAGTGCAGCAGTCGTCTGCTCAGCAACCATTCGAGTTTGACTCTATCGTTGCTGGGAAGGCCGTGACAAGCACAGGCAGTGTCAGACCACGACAGCGGAAACGCCAAACTTGGCCTGGCACCTGCTCGCTTTTAGGATGACGATAACTGGCTGCCAGAATCTCGCCAGGAACCACACTTGTTCGGCGCGGGGAACGCTAACGTGCCGGAGCTTGCGAGGCGTTGAAGATCCTGCCACCCTGCCACACCCAGCGCAGCTGATGGATGCAAGTCAAACAATGCACATGTAATGTGCTGAGCTTTGCAATGTGACTTGTGCGAGTCTTGATCAATGTTGGACGTCCCTGGCTGCGAACACGTTGATGCGGTCGCATAGTCCCCAATCTAGGATAGCGTCAGCCAGCATGTGGGACATGGATTCAATGCATCTGTCAACAGCGCAGTTGACGTGGACGTGTCGAACATCTCCACTACAACAATTGCATGTGTGGCAACAACGACTGGACCATGGAAGAACGCAGTCAAACAACGTGTGGTAGGTACCTATGCAGGGTGTGGGGGTGACGATGATGGCCGCGTGCAGGCCCATACGCCATAATGCGGGTCGCAGGCCCTGGAGCTCTCCGACTCTGCTACATAAGTGCGCCATCCCAGCTTCCAGGACCGATTCATTTGCGCCATTTTGGCTGTATCCCACCAAGCTATCTGCCCCTCTTGCCAGCCTCACTTCCAGTCTCCACTTGAATTGCGGATTCCGAGGTCAGTACAGCACATGCGCTTTGTGCAGCATCATTGGGCTCTCAAGTCGCAGCCGCGCTTATTGGCCTGACGTGCAGGAAACTGCCCGAGCCAGACCTGAGCACTTTTCTCAGCTCGCTCACGCTGCACATCGCCATCATTCAATGGCTGGGATCTGTCACTGACATTGAACGACTTGTAGTTTCAACCGCACCTACACCCCACATCCCCGCCGAGCAACCGACACAGAAGCAATGAGTGCTCCACCAACGATACCTCCACGCCCAGCGCGGGCCCAGAACAGCTCTTCTCCTGCGCAGGGTACCCATATGGATGTTCCCAAGATCCCCCCACGCCCGAAGCGCGGTGTCGAACGCTCCGTCTCTCCCGCTGGAGACAGATACGCCCGCTCCCCGCTCAACGACCCGACCTACGTACACGGTGGACCGCCTAGAGAGGGCGGTCGCCTCAGCACCGATCTGCCCTCCCGCCCACCGAGCGTGTCCATGCCCTCTCTCGGAGAAGAAGGCAATGAATACGCCAGCTTCGAAGACCTGTCAAAGACCCTCACACCGGAGAACCAGGGCGGCTCTCCACAACATATGAAGAACGTGGCAGGAGACTTGCCTCTGCATGCTCCTACAGCCTCGGTCCCAAGCTCAACCGCCAAAAGTAGGATCCAGGCGGTGACGCGGACCGATTCACAGACAGCGCTCGCTGCTGGCGTCGGCTCGCAGCTGTCCGTCGACGATAGGGTCTCTCAGGCCAAGACTGGACGTTCAGGATCTTCCGCTGGATCGCGCCCCAGCTCGCTCTACAACGACAAGGACGAGCATGGCATTCCTGAAATTGGTGTTCAGGTACCCATGTTCCGAAATGCTGGAGACGTTCAAGCTCCCAGCCCTTCGCCCTACGCGCAACAGCCCGGAGCGCAAGGAATAGGTTTCCACCAGAAGGCCGGTAGTCGCCATCACGGGCGCACCAAGAGCGGCCGTGAAATCTTCCACGGGCCTCCTGGCAGCTACGGCATGCACGGCCACGGCAAGATCTCAACAGACGACTTTGAGCAGAAGTGGTACGAAAAGCACCCGGACGATCTGAAGCGCGAGAAGGCCGGCGAGTACGGTCCTCACATCCAGGAGAACAGGAAGGATTACCACTGGCGTGCCGATAACCTCGACAAGCTGGTACACACTAGGGCTCAGGATGTTGGGATGGGTAAGTCAATTGCGGCTTCGTTATTCATCAGCTGTTGCTGATCATATTCTACAGGTACGAGTCGGGATGCAGTCAGTACACCCGACGAACAGATTGGCTACAGGGCCACAGAGGAATATGCTTCGCGCATGGCCTCTCCTCGACCACAATCATCGGGTCGCCCTGCTTCAATCAAGGGCGGCTACGTCGACTCACCCCTCCGTAACGAAGCGGGCCAAGAGGTCAATGACAAAGGCGAGGTCATCCACATCGACCCTCCTGCGCATCGCTCCAGCAAGGTTCACGGCGGAGGCTACGATCCACCAACCGAAGACCTTGGCCCCGAGGGCGGAAACACAGCTGAGAAAGGTGGATGGGTTACTGAGCGCGGATATGGCACGCCCATTCTAGCTTCCGATGAGCTGAAGAAACACCCAGACGCCGAATGGAGACAGCCTGCTGTATCGCCTGAAATGGAGCGCCATGGCAACGAATACACGCTCAATGAAGATGGCAACCCGCAATATGTCACAAAGCCGCGCACGCACAGCAGGAGCTCGAGTCGGAACAACAGCACGCAGCAGCAACGTGTCATTCCCAGCCCAGCACAATACGATCGTGGCAGTACTCCACTAGAATCGCACAAGGAGTATGAGCCCCTGTTTCCGGAGGATGAGGAGGACACCAAGAAGCCCAAATCTCAGGTCGACAAGCTCAAGCGTCCCAGTGTCGCCCGACACCACTTTCCCAGTCAAGATGTCTGGGAGGATACCCCTGGCAGCTTACAGCTCGAAACTACTGTTGATACTCCTCAAGAGCCAGAAGAGCCAAAGACTGCTGGTGGTAACGATAGCGTGAGTCCTGCGAAGGTCTTTGAAGACCCGAACACCGAGGAGCAGCGTAAGACTCAGATCAACAAGGAAGATCAGAAGTCTTTTCTCCCCGACCACACTAGACAGTTCGCCGCAGACAACAAGATCCTCGGAAAAGTACGTGACGAGACCATGGGCCGCCCTGGAATGCAGCAACGCTTCCCAAGTCAAGATATCTGGGAGGATGCACCATCCCACGGATTATACGAGACTACTGTTAGCACACCTCAGATGGAGGATACGAATGAGTATGCCGACGACTCCCCAATTGACCAAAAGCCCCCGGTGCCGGCTCGCCCCAGTATTCCGGCACGACCAGCCAAGAGGGAACCATCTGCCGATGACAAGAAAGCACCCATTATCCCAGACCGACCGAAGCCACAGATACCTGCACGCCCAAGCAAGCCATCTACTGGCTCAGCGGAGAAGGTTCCAACTGTCGACTCGCAGACTGGCGAGAACGACTCCCCCCAGACGAAGGCGAAACCGCCCGTTCCCGCCCGACCTGCTGGCTCGAAGATTGCGGCTCTCCAGGCTGGTTTCCTGAAAGACCTCAACAGCAAACTTGGAGTTGGCCCTCATCCACCGCCTAAGGTGCGTGAACCCGAGGAAGAAGAAGAGGCGCAAAGAGAAACAGCACCACTTCCAGATGCTCGCAAGGGTAGGGCCAAGGGTCCGCAACGAAGGAAGCCTGCTGCATCTCCGTCACCCGCTGCTGCCGCTACTGTTACTGCTGAAGTTGCTGTACCAAGGCAGTCGTTGAGTTTCGGCCCTGTGACACACGTCTGGAGTTTTGGACAGGATGGTAATCTTGAGGTGCCTGCTGCAAAGATGGCAGCTCAGATTCAGCAGTCACTCAGTGCTTCGACCAAGACGGCCGAACCTACTCTCACTGAGGGTGAAGCGGGTCGGAATGTTGCAGCAGAACCAAAAGAGCCCGAGCTTGCACAGATTACGTCAAAGGAGGAGAGTGAGTCTACTTCAGCGACCGAAGCGGTCAAGGAGAAAGCTCCATCAACTCTTGAGCAAGCCACTTCTCAAGTGTCGGAAGCGTTCGGATCAGTTGCTTCCAAGGTATCATCTGCCCTCTCGCCAGAAGAACCCTTAGTCTCCAAAACTGCACCCGGTTCTACCGATGCGCCCGGTGCATTCCCTGGTTCTGGTCCGGACCTAGACAACGAGGCTGATGTGAAGGGTGCACCTTTGGAGCAAAAGCAATCTCAGGACAAGCCCGTCAGTGTTTCCGCTGAGGAGAAGAAGGTTGATGAAACTACCTCGCTGAAGGAGGGTGAGAGTTCCTTGTAGACTCTTGCTTGTCAAGCAGTACTTCAAAAAGATCGAGTTGAGTGGTAGGATAGGCTGTATTGCTACACATCTTCAGTACTAGTGTGCACGTAGATATTTTCCAATCCATCGTTAGAATACGCATCTAAGATATAGTTGGGGGTCGTGACTGTATGCCTTTATGTGCAAGATGAAGCGACGTTGTTGTGTGCTAATGATCTGTTGTACAGATTCTTTTTGGCATGAGCACCCTTACTGAAGCCCATCTGATGTTGTCGGAGCGATAGGCAAACTATCGATGTATTGTGTCGGTTGTCTGTGTTGTCGCTCCGAGGCTTGCTGATATCGGCTATTCTGTACTGACTAATTAGCGGTCAGGGACGTCGTCCAAGCTTCAGGACAATCTATCTATGGCTCGCAAACCATCATCAAACACTCATCCACTCAAACTACCATCTCTTCCGTCCGCTCTCCAGATATGACAGAGCCTCACATAACGTCCTCCTGCAAGCCTGCGAACGACCCTGGGCGCCTGAAGAGAAAGCGGCCACACGACGACCAACATGGCACAACAGCAGCCACTGACAAGCGTACCAATACTTTGCATTTCAAAGATTTCAACCTCCCCATCAAGGATCCATCAAGACATACGAGTGGCAGGGTGCGCGATCAACAATATTTACAGCTCTGTACATCTCCCCACGACGACAGAGCACACGATGCGTTCAAGGCAAAGATCCTGGAAGAAGACATACAACGCGAAGCGGAGGTAGACAAATGGCTGGAGCAGGTCACCCCACGTCTGGAGGCCGGCGAGCAGATACCGATTGGGAGCCTTGGCAACACGAGATGGCATGTAGCCTGCCGCGAGTATTGGGAGCAATACATTGGCCCGGACCACTGTTGGATTAATCCCGAGGATGGACGAATGCTCGTATTCCAGAAAAAAGCACCGGGTGTGAAGACCACAAAGCAGCAAATGGTGGTGGACCAATTCTGGATGAAGCAAAGCGCCTCACCTGGTATAGCTACGAGTCATCCCTTTGAGAGACCAGAATATGCAAGCTTAGACCCCGTGATCGTGAGCCTAAGGTACACTGGGAGCGATCTGAAAATATGGTTCTTGGGTAATGGGTATGCGAGGATGGAATGGAATACTACATTCCTCATGGGCCAGGTGGGAAGGCTGATGAAACCGGGAAGGCTAATGATGTCCTGTATACAAGAGGACACCGATGAACATGACTCGGGAAGCGACGCTACTGAAGAATCAGACTCTGAAGAAGATGAAGAAGACAACGAAGAAGAAGACGAAGAACACACCGGCAGCGAAGAAGAATGGAGTCATGAAAGCGACGACCTGTATTGCAGAAACTACAGCAACGGCAGCGAATGCGGATGCGAAAGATGCCTTCGTACATGGGACGATATGTCTGAGAGCGATTTATACGACGATCGCCCTGAACCACCGGGGATGACTCAGGCCAGGATAGACTACGAATTTCGGAGGTTCATGAACCAACGGGAACCGGCACCATGGGATAAGTATGCGTGATTGATTAATGCATTGCTTAGATTTACTTCGACGGAGGAAGACTTGTAATTGATCTTAGTGTCTTGGGTTTAGCATCCCAGATCTACATAGCTCACCCACGTTGTTATTCCACGCACTCGAAATGGAATATAAGGGCAAGCTTGTTACCTTCTTTTCCTCTGACAAGCTGGAGCCGGAGATATCATTGTACTATTTCTTCGTGTCGTAGCCAGTTTCTTATCAGTTGCAATAAAATACTGTTCCAGAGATGATATTGCGAAGCCATGCTGCGGCTTCTATGAACATGCTTGACGCGCCATCTGAGCCACGTATTTGATCACAATCACTTCGTTTCGTGACAACAGTTGCGGAGTATGTGTTTCAACATGTCATCACATACGCATGTCTTGATGTGCGAGTGTTCTAGGCCAAGACCATTCTTTTCTGCCCAATGTACGTCGTTGTAAAATTACATACTAAAGTTAGAAGCCTATCTTCTGACCAATATCTCGAGAACACAGTTTCGAATATGTGTGCTGTCACGAAATCATTGTACACTAGCATCAAATCCTACCATCGTTATTCTATCCGGTAGGTGCACAGGTGTGGTGAGAAGGCACGCTGTACAAATGACAACGTCGGTCTTGCCCAAGACATCGTCTTCACTGCATACCGATTTCCAGATAACCTGAATCAGACTGTTCATGAGCCACTGCTAGCCTTTATAAGAGTATATATAGGCACCCTACAGTATGCGCGTGATCTATTAGCAGACTGGTTAACGCAGCATGTGTCGGAAAGAGAGGTATTCGTAAAGAAACACAGTCTTCAACTTTATGCCAGATAAACAAGATATAGTGATCAAGTTGGCAGCGTTGGTTCATAACTTCCACCATATCAAATACGTTCCCGGAACCTGCGCGTACCTGAAACATTCGATTCCGCTAGAAATGGGCTCAAAAGCAGGTTGGAAGACTATTCTCCAAGCAGGCAATGTTAATCTTTGCTCTTCAGCTCGAAATAGTCCCCTGAAAACGGTGTTTGCCGTGAAGACGAGCTGAGCTTGACCTCAACAACGCCTTATCCCGATCAAGGCGCCACAGTGGCTTCATGTCGGTAAAGCCGAAGCGTACCACACCATACTACGGACCATTCGAGAAGAATACGAAAGTATGAATAAGCTGCTAGAAGAAACTTCTGCAAGACCCTGAATCCCGCGCCGCTTTACAGCAGCAACGGGAAACCAGGCTGCGTATCCAGATTTCCCCAAGCGTATTGTGCGCGTACTACCTACTTACCTTTGCATTGCCGCGGCACATGCTACCGCAGACCGACCCACACCACGGCATGCACGCGCCTCAACACCAACGCAGAAATGTCACGATGATACGGTGTACCCCACCCGAGGCTCGGACGAGGCTAACATCCAGGTACCAGCCTCCCGAGGTGCTAGCCCCGACAATGGCGTGACACCTACACAATACGCTAAGTGCAGATTTCGGTACTCGCACACACGAAGAAAAGTTTTTCCCTCGTGGATCTTCGTAGATTTGTGTAAGAATTTCCTTGTCCACTGGTGCTGGTGTACCGGGCATACTAGGCAGAAAATTCTCCATGGGCAAACTCACAGAACACGTGCTGGTATGAGGGGAACGCGTTGACCTCGGGAGCTGGGATGTACCTGGATAGTAGTCACCATCTGCCATGGCTTTTCTTTCCGTCAAATTTTCTTCCTGTGGCCGTTGGGTTTGCCCAAACGACTCCAGGGCTCTTTTGTTCCGTGCTAGCTGCTAGAAGCTTCCTGCACAACATGTGCTGCCTCGGTGCGGGTCGGCGCGAGGTTCTCGAGCGGATCCGGACGTACGTCCGCTTCTGGATACGTTGCGTGCGCTGAGAAGGGAAGCGTTAGCCGACGGGCAACTTGGCCGTTGAAGACTCTGTTTCGAAATCTCGAAACTGTATGAGAGAGGTTTGCGTTTGCAATCTGGGACAAAGATACGAAGTACGACGGAGTGCCTGGCAAATCGCGGAAGCCGTTGCTGTCGTGACGAGACTGATCGGCATGCTGCGCACCGTATCCGGTAAGGCCGTCGATCTGTCGAGATGGAAAGATAAGATTCCGCTCCCCGGCGCGCGAGGAGAGCGCGTCCGAGGAGTCCGGCTCGACATGACTATGTCATAGACCCTGGTTCCGCCCTCACCGTTGACAGCGTCATCATATGAACCAGCTTATCGAAGCGGATGAGTCCAGAACTCGATCAGGGAGTGATGATGCAAGCAACCTCGGAAGAAAAGCAACGGTTATCGCAAACCTGCGAGAGAAGGGGAAATACGGAGGCCATGACCGCTCGTTAGATGCTGCACGTGGCTGATGATGTGGCTCAATCTATCTTATCTTATCGCCGGCTTTCTACATACGTCCGCTCCGCCCCGGATGATCAACATCGCAGCATGGTTCACTCTTATTGGTGAACTATTGACGATCATCTAAAGCCTCACTCACTCACCGTTCTGTCACCATTGTCAAACGATGACCAGCATATCGTGCTGAGTGAGATGCACACAGCATAGGGTCCAAGTTGTATGGGGTCCAGGTCGTGCGCATGACATCAGCGACACTGTTGATGATAGCTACCAAGGTAGGTTTCAGTGACAATATTGTGTTACTTGGTTGCGCAGCCACCACGCCGTAACCGCGGACGATGTTGGCGTGGATGATCAGATCGTCAGATCGTGGCTGCCTAAGGCGCGCCCCATTTCCCTGTTTGAGCCCCAACTTCCCTGGATGGGAGAACGCTCAGGAACAGGGCAGCATGTTTGGGACGTGAGGCGTTGCTAGGCACGACGCGGCCCAGAAACATCCAAGGAGTTGAGTTGGCATGCCAGCTCAGCAATGTTCGAGATGACACGTTATCGCAAGAAACCTCCGTAACTTGGAAACAGGGTTTCGCTTCATTCAAGCGGATTGCGTAGAGCGGGCTACGCGCAAGCTAGATTCGTACCTGTTTCACTAGGCCTCGCGAACCACAGCGCAGCATCAGCTAGCGGGTGTGACTGAGGCAGTCCGTCTCTAGTAAAAGCAACATCGACGATGGCTATGAGAAGATTAGCTGTATGAATCGTTTCGTCCACCGCCATGTCGAAACGAGATGTTGAAACCTCGAGATTGCGGGCATGGACATGTTTTGACTCGATGTTTGGTACCGAGTCTGATATGAGATTTGATCATCTCTCGCTCCATGGTAGCGTTTCGAGACGAGCATCGTGGAGGGTCAGTGCCGGTATCGCCGCGACAGCAGTGGAGCGTGGGGAAAAGGAGAGATCGACGCTGTAACTTCCGTCTTCAACTTCTGACAGTGTGGAGACGGGAGACCTTGCTCAGATCAAAGCTTTCGCGGTCCAGAAGCCCTCGACGAGTGGGTTTCGCAACAGATTGCCATAGACCGCTCATCCTACAGCTGTCAAGTGCATCAAGATGCGAGTGCGAATAGAGGATGCACATCTGCGTGCGACGGATAATCTGCTTCCAGCTGATCCGCTCGAGTCTGGCTCATGTGTCCGCGTTTCGCCCGAGCGGAACGAAACGTGACCGTCGTACGCGAGCTCCTGTTGTGTCCGATCGGATACATTCAAACCCCGAGCAGCCTGTCTGCCTGCGCACACTTTTCGGACGTGGGCAGAACCAAACGCCGAGTTGACCCGGCTGCTTGCGGCTGCATGCCTTGCATACACACCAGATCTTCCCAGGCAGACGCAGATGGTCACTCGGCGGTGCGTGGGGCGGTGCGATCGGTGTACGCAATCAAGCTCGCAACGCCTGCTCTGTGTATGCGGGGACACGAAGGTGATTGACCGGAAGTGCACTTTCACCAGGCAAGCGTTGCGACGACAGATCGCTCAGCCATGCAAGGCGCGCTCGGCGAAAAGCAGCCGCGTCCGCGATGCGAAGTGCCCGCCCTATGCGGGATGCATGCGAGGGGCCAGGGTCTGACGCACTGGCCAAAAGTCGGTCAACCCTAGGAATTTCCCAGCACCAAATGTGTGACTGGGCATGTTGACAGGAAACTGTAATGCGTGGGGTCTGTTGCTGTGTCGTGTGCTGTTGACAGTTCATCAGTCATGCATGGGGAGTGTACCTGTGACCTGCCAAGGGTCGATTAGCATGCAGCCTGTAGCGATAGCAGCGCATCACCTGAGAAAAGCGTGGAGATTGTTTTGTGGGTGTAATGATCATCATTGAAATTTCTAGCTATGGCGGGAGTCTCGACCACTGCCTTCGGGAGACGTCGAACCGCTCGAGACCAATATCCCAAATCCTCCTATCCCGTATCCATCCAATAATTTCTGAGTAGAGTTGTTCGTGAGATCCTGCGTGAAGATCCCGACCGCCCTGCGGTATATGCCAATAAAAGAAAACAGAGGATATAATGCTCGAAAATGCTACGCTATGCTGTAAAGGACTCGCTCGCTGAAAACGCTGGATCAAAAATCAAAAGGTCGGAACATGGTGGTGTGCTGGCCTAATAACTTGAGATGAGCGGAGCGGTGGTGTCCATGAATAGCGGATGGTCTTCGATGTTTTCTGATTGTGGTTTGGCGTCGTAGAAAGTTGTTGTGAGCATGGCTTCCTTCTCGGTGAAGTTGAAGGACGCTTGCGGGGGCGATGTGGGTGGAGACTCGTCGTCGGACTCTTCCTCGTAGGTGAGCTCGGGTGGTGATTGTAATTGCGATGGTACCCGGGTAAGAGCCAGTTCTGAGTCGTCCTCCATGTCGTCGTAGAACTCCTCCTCGTCGTCTTCATCCTCGTCCACCTCCATTGTGCTGATCTGAACCGGTGATTGAGCGATGCGGCGAGGGAGTGCGATCATGTCGAAGTCGTCCTCGTTCTCGGACTCGGAATCTGATTCGGAGTCGTCGTCCTCTTCCTCCTCAGCGATGCTGTCGGCCCATTGGATGTGGCGGGACTCTTCAGTCTTGGAGGCCTTGGCCATGGTCTGGTTGAACCATTGCTCTTGCTGGCG